AACCACCCTCCCAAAAGTATGACCATACAATCCCTTTCTCCTCCATTCTCCTCTCAGAATTTTGGGCTTGTTAAATGTGTTTTTTTCCTGATCCTCTCCTTTCCAGTCCAACAGACACAGAATGGAAAGTTATTGTGTACGGTAATAACTTTGAGTTGCTGGACATAAAATGCATTTATGCTTTGAGAACTCATATCATATGCTGTAAAAATGTACAATGATTAAATTTAAATAAAAAATAAATTAAGTAGTAAGAAATAAATTAACAAAAAAAAAAAAAAAAGAATTTTGGGCGTGCATGCACATGCACCCAGAACGAGTTTCAAGCCACTGGGTCAGGACTCGAAATGCAGTTGGCCATGTGGGAGTCTAGCGATGTAACCATTACACCATATACTGATCCCCCCAAATTATTTAAATATTAAATTGATATAAAGCCTTAATTTTTTTAAACAAAAAATACTTGGCAAAGGAATAAATGTTGATCTGAGGGTCGCAATAATTTATCCAAAAATTATTATTAAGATCATTTGAGGGAACCAGCAGTTAGCGTAATGGCTATGTCGCTGGACTCCCACGTAGTCGACCGCGGTTCCCGTCTGGGACCCGGTGGCTTAAATCTCACGCCAGGCGCGTGTGCATGCGTGGCCAAGATCCCGAGAGGAGAATGGAGGAGAAGGGATTGCGGCGTGACCATCCCCCCTGGGGGGTGATTTCTCGCTTTCTGTCTCTATGTCTCTGTCTGTCTGGCGAGCGCATGCGCCCTATAGCGAAAACCTCTCCAAAAAAAAAAAAAAAAAAGATCATTTGAAAGTGCTGTGCATTTTAAAAATACCATCCTTGCACTGTGACCAAACAAAAAGATGAATGAAAACACTCAGCACATGACCCTTGGTCATGGTAAAGCAGAAATTAGGAGTGCTTCTTATTGCGCCTATATTTTGTGCACCAAGGTATGTTACTATATGTGACTTTCACGGGAACTCTTTGGATACTTATTCCCATAGTACCCATTTAAGGAAGAGAAATCTGAGGCTTAAATTTTTTGTTTTTAATCTTTTGATTTGTTGTAGGGTCTGTGCATTGCCAGAGAAACAGGAAAAGGGAAATCACTCCCCAGTGGGTATGACCACACAGAAGTCCTTTCTCCTCCATTCTCTTCTTGAGAGAATGGGTACACAGGCACATGTGTCTGGCATGGTTTTCAAGTTGCCGTGTCTGGGACTGGAATCAAGCAGTTGGCCATGTGGGATCTAGCCACGCCAAACTCCACACCACCTGCTGGTCCATGTTTTGAGAATTTTAAGTAGCTTGTTTAATACTACAACAGATACAATAATCTAGATTTGAACTTAGGTCTGCATGAGTCTAGACTGATGTTCTTACTCATTTCACTTCTTTGTCTCTCCTGCTTTGTCCCTAGCCTGAGCTGACCACTCTTGGATCATGTTTTATTAATCTTTACTTTAAAAAAAAAATGGTACTTGTCAGCTCCAATAACCTTGTACGGTTTGGTTCATATTCTTGTTTTCTTAAAGTTGTAGCTGAATATGGAGTTTACAGTGCAGGCAACATTTAAGAATAATTAAACATTAGGAACATAATGGAAATGGCTTTTTTAAAGATAGAAAAGAGGGCCAGACAGTGATGTGGAGATTAAGGGGACTAGATCCAGCATGGTTGACTAAGCAGTTCAAATCCCTGATCTGGAACCTAGAAAATCACACCAGGTGCATGTGCTCTTGTGCCCAAAACCTCAAGAAGAGAATGGAGGAAAAGGAACTGTGCTGTGGCCATTCCCCTGGAGGTGATTTCTCACTTTCTCTCTCTTTCTTTCTCTCTCTCTGTCTCCAGCAAGCACACATGACCTGTAGCAAAAGAAAAAAATTAAAATAAAATAATAAACAATATATATTAATATATACAATTTTACATTTTAAAATTTCATTAATGTTTTAAATTATTACTGTTAATGCTAATTGCCATTCATAAAAATCAGCTAATATTGGAACTAGCAGATGGTGTAATCGTTACACTGCTGGACTTCCATGCATTCGACCATGGTTCAAGTCCCAAATCTGGTGGTTTCAAACTCACACTGAGTGCATGCGGGTGTGTGCCTAAAATCCTGGAAGATAAGGGATTGCGGCAAAGCTATCCCCTCTGGAGGGATGATGTCTCACTTTTTGTCTCTCTGCCTCTCTCTGTCTCTCTGATGAGTGCAAGTACCCTATAGCAAAAATATCTCTCTCTAAAAAAAACAAACCATCAGCTAATATTTAGTTATCACAGTAAATACCATTATGCTTTTATTAACACTTAACAAACACAAACATAGATATGAGTCTGGGCATATAAACATATATACATGTGTGTATATGTATCTGTAGATATATTTATATATCAGTAGACAAATCTTTATATGAGGACACACTCACCTTTAAACCTATTGTTACATATGGAAAATTATGTCAAAAGTTGGAATAATTATCTATATGACATATGGCAAAGTTTTCTGTGTGTATGGTGGCTGACTTTATGTGAGAGAATAAGAAACAGAATTTATAAGGGCACTGTATTATAAACAACACTTTTGTATTTTCAAATTTAACCCTTATCATAATCTTGGATGATGAGCAGGTAAGATTTATTTGCACATCTCTGCTTTACAATGTAGTTATATAAGTTTGAAATAGATATAAAATAAACTTCAAAAAGTTTGTAGAAAACTGATCAGCAATGATGTAATGGTTACGTTGCTGGACTCTCATATGGTTGACCACAGTTCAAGTCCAGGACCATTTGGCTTGAAAATCACACTGGGCATGTGGGGTGTGTGTGTGTGTGTGTGTGTGTGTGTGTGTGTGTGCATGCATACATGCCCCAAATCTTGACTGTGGCATGATCATCTCCCTAGGGTGATTTCTCACTTTCTCTCTCTCTACACAACAAGCACACCTGCCCTATAGCAAAAATCTCTATATATATAAAAAAAGGAATTAAAGTATGAGTTTATTTTTATGCAGTAAAATTTTGAGGTCTTGGAGCCAGCAGGTTGAGTTTTGATTAAGGTGTGGTATTCCCACATTACCGACTGTAGTTTGAGTTCCGGACTTGGTGGCTTGCTTTCTCACTTTCCCTCTCTTTCTCTGTCTCTGTTTGGTGGATGCATTTGCCCAATAGGAAACTTAAAAAATAAAGAATAAATAAAATAATAATTTTTTAAATATTTGAAATCCTGCATTTGTTTTCATAAAACATTTTCATGAACATTTTGAAGATCTTTTATATCTTAAGGAGATGTATTTGATCAGATTGAGTCATATTGTATAAATAATTGATAAATAATTAGTAAAGCAAATATTTTGACTTATATTCTACATATTCTTATTTCTTACCTATTTGGCTGTTACCAGTTTCCATATGTAAGTGATTGGGTTTTCGTTTTCTAATTCTGTATCAGTTGCTCTATTTCCTTCATCGAGTTGTCTCATTCAAACAGGAACAAGCCAGTCATGTGCTTTAACCTTCACAGGTGAACTGAATCTATGGAAAGGCCATCTTCACTCTGAAGTTCTCACTGAAAAGAAAAATCTCCACTTCTTAACCTGTTGATCTCACAGAAAGAACTTGGGTATTATAATAAAGCGTTGTAATGTTAAAATCCCAGGTCCAGCATATGTTGTTTTCTTGAACTTAAATTCTTTATGGACTATCCTACCAGTAAAATAGGGATAATGAGGCTTAACATAGCCTTGGCTGCATCATCCCAATTATAATGTTGGATCCAGGTTCTGGTCCTGAACATGCTGTGAATGCCTGTGCTCTTCCTGTGATCTTGGCTCGCTGAAGAGCTGAGTGTAAGGACCACACCATGGTGAAAATCTGTCAAGAAACCTTCTTTTTCCCTGTTTCTCTCTCTCTCTCTCATTAAAAAAAAAAATAGGTAGATGAACTTTTAAAAAAATGCTAATGTAGACAATTTCCTAGAAAATAGGGTCCTCAGTGGTTGCTTTCTTCTCATTATTTTTGTTAGATACCTATAGCACTCTAAAATAGGTGTTGTTTTGATAAAACTCTATTCCTGTTTTAAAATGATGAATTAAAAAAAGAAACTCAACATAATGCTTTCTTGTTACATGAGATACAGAGCTAGACACGTTTCCTGAGATATTCCTCTTTTATAAAGAATAAATTAATTCATTAAATTGTAGATTCAGTTCAGTATTTTAAAGAAATAGTTGAGAATTAGTGATGATTTTCAAATGCATCTTAAACTTTATACTATTTATTCTATTTGTAAATAAGGCAGTTTTCTTATCGGGAATGGTTTTCAAACTATTCTTGTTCTTATTCTATTCCAATAGTAGGAATTACTAATCATATCCAGTCTTCTTTTCTCAGAACTCAAATGTGGCTTCAGAATGATTTTCAGAAGTTCACACCAGAAAGTCACTAGTAAATAGTCAAAGCTGGCCCCCCTGAGTTAAAAGCTATTTAATTTTTAAAAAATAGTTTTCAAAATTATTTTAAAGAATTATTTATTTATATATATACACACACACACACACACACACACACACACATACACACAGAGAAAGTGAGAAATCAACCTGCCAGGTCCAGGACTTGAACCTTGGTCAGCCATGGCAGAGTCTAGCACCATAATCACTGTACAATCTGGAGGCCCTAAAATTTATTTTTTATTGCTATCATATGTGGAGGTTTTCCTTCCTCATCTGGCTATTTTAAAGTATTTGATAAATAATTTTTCTGCACCTCAATTATTCCTATGTTCTTACCATTGCCTTTAACAAATTTCTAATTTATGTTCTCAATTATGAAAGAGGCATTGAAGGTAATTTTCTATATAGCAGAATATAAAATTATAAAAGTATACTTTTTGATGACTATCATGCTATAAACTCATCTGAAGCAATGTTCTTCTCTCTTATACTTACAGATTCTATGAATACTGTGTGTCCTTCATCTTTTCCTTGGAAATCATGCAAAACCAAAGCTTGGTAGTTGACTTTGTCCTTCTAGGACTTTCACAGGATCCAAATATTCAGAAAATGGTATTTATTGTATTTTTGTTTGTGTACATCGCAACCATCGGGGGCAACATGCTAATTGTGGTGACCATCCTCAGCAGCCCTGCCCTGCTGGGTTCCCCCATGTACTTCTTCTTGGCCTTCCTATCCTTCCTGGATGCGTGCTTCTCCTCTGTTATCACCCTGATTGTCCTCACAGTCATGGCCTATGACCGTTACGTGGCCATTTGCAAGCCCTTGCACTACTCTTCTATCATGAACTGGAGGCTCTGTGGCATTCTGATGGGAGTAGCCTGGACAGGGGGCTTCTTGCATTCTATGATACAAATTCTCTTTACTTTCCAGTTGCCCTTCTGTGGCCCCAATGTCATAGATCACATCATGTGTGACTTATACCCATTGCTGAAGCTCGCGTGCATGGACACTCATATCTTTCACCTTTTGGTGATTGCCAACAGCGGCTTTATCTGCATCATAATCTTCACCTTGTTGCTTATCTCCTATGGTGTCATTTTGCTCTCACTGAGGACCCATAGTTCTGAAGGGCGACAGAAAGCTCTCTCCACCTGTGGATCTCACATTGCTGTTGTGGTTTTGTTCTTTGTCCCGTGCATATTTATGTACTCCAGACCTCCATCGGCTTTCTTTTTTGATAAAATTGTGGCAATATTTTGTACTATCTTAACTCCCATGCTCAATCCTATGATTTATACTTTCAGAAATAAGGACATGAAAAACGCCATGAGAAAAGTATGGAACAGATTGGTGATGGCTTATGATGAAAAATAAACATTATACTTTTAAAAAAATAAAGGTAAGAGGAAAGAATTTACAGTGATCTTGGACAAAACTTTATGTAGATGGATAATGCATGACAGGAGGTAATGGAATGGAAAAAAATTAACACAGGATGCAGAAAATGATGTGTTCACCCACAGAGTAATTAAAAACTCTTAGTTTGCAACTCAGTATCATTATGTGTGAATTAAAGAGAGCTGAATTATGTACTTACCTAGAATATAATCAGAAAAAAAAAAGAGAAGATAAATTACCTGTCAGACTGTTTGCCATTCACTCCCATGCTCTGAAAAATGTTTGTGGAAGAAAATTATATCTTAGGGATTTTGAAAATTTATTCAAACTATTTCAAGTGCAAGGTTTATACTAAGGGACTTTCAAAATTCATGGAAAATGGAATTAAAGTATGAATTTATTTTAGTACAAAATTGCTTGAAATCATGTATTTTTTTTTCATAATACTTATTCCCTATGCATTTTTAAAGACCCCCATGTCTTTAGGACACAGTTCTCAATGACTGATGAAAAATCACTAGGAATCTAAACAGATACTCACAAAACCTCAACTCTAGATGTTCTTGTATCACATGATTACATCATTTAAAGTGGTTTTACCACCCACTACAAAATCTGAGTAACCTGGTAAATTTTTTGAGAAATAAAACCTGATTGGCCCAGTCTTGCCTGTGGATGAGATGCTCTTAGGTTATCTGATCATCTCTTACTATTTAGTGAAGGGAGAAAGACAGGGACAGATTTGGCTATCTTTTATAACAGTGAAATAAAAGAGAACTATTGAGAGGCCCTGTTACTAGCAGAAGATGTACCAAATCTGCATGTGTAATGAGAAATTTTTTAACCTTTCAAGGCAAATAGAAAATGAAACCATTGGGTAAGGTGATGACATGGTGATTAATGTGGCGGGAATTCCACAAGGCAAGGTTTATATCCTGAACCATATGGCTTGACAAACATGTTGGGTATATGTGCATGGGTTTGCAGAATCCAAAAGGAGTGAGAAATGGAGGAGAAGGGATTGCAGCATACCATTCCCGAGGGGTATGATTTGTTACTTTCTACTCCTCTATTCTTGTCCCACAAGCACCCTCTGATAAATTAAATACAAAGAGAAAAACAGAATCTAAAATCATCTGAGACTAAAAAGATTTCCAAAGAAGATTACATTTCAATTTACTGAATGATTTGACTTGTTTTTTACTTTGTTTACCCAAGTGAAAATAATTCTGTGTGAACAATTGTCAATAAAGTGAATGGGGCCTGACAGTAGTGCAGCAGTAAAATATGACACTCCAATGCCGAGTCACATGAGAAGGTTCCCAGTTTACATCCGGAGACCTCCCTGAATATACCAGGCATTTGTGTGCCCGTGATCCCATGCTAGCTGAAAGTGAGGTTGGATTGTGGTGTTAAGACCTTGTTAGGGGAGGGGTGCTGTCTCTTTTGCTCATGAAAGAAATAAAGAAAAGAAATAAATAATCTTTTTTTTTTAATAAAGAGACCATTAAAATTTATATCATTCATAGTTAAGACTTATTTGTTTCAGGTTGCTTTGTAGCTTCTACAATAAATTTACTTTTAGCAAAATATTTTAGTTTCCCTTAGCACATTAATGTTAATAAAATGTTCATTAATTATTATAGATAAAAGTATTAAATAATTATCTTTTCTTTCTTTGCTTAATCTTGCATGCCAAGTCCAACATCATGGAACTACATATGGCATTAGTTTTCTTCCTCAAAATGGATATTATAGGGAACCAGCAGTTAGCGTAATGGCTATGTCGCTGGACTCCCACGTAGTCGACCGCCATTTGCATCTTGGACCCCATGGCTTAAAACTCACGCCGGGCACATGTGCGTGCATGCCCAGGATCCCAGGAGGAGAATGGAGGAGAAGGGATTGCGGCATGACCATCCCCCCTGGGGGGTGATTTCTCGCTTTCTGTCTCTATGTCTCTGTCTGTCTGGCGAGCACATGCGCCCTATAGCGAAAAGCCTCTCAAAAAAAATGGATATTATAGAAAATAGAAAATATTTGATTGCTCTCTCATGGGAAAGTCCATGAGAAATTAATGCTGGGGTCTAAAATATCATCTCACCAAAGCATAGACACTGCAGTAGACCAAGTCTGTGATGGGCTGCACATTCCTGGGAACTTGCCTCTCTCCCTTCCCTCACTTCTCCATCATCTCTCTGTTGTCACAGCAAAGTTAGCTCCTTTATGTCTTTTCCCCTCTCCATAGAGGTTTTTATTGTTCATTCGTTCATTTATCCTTAAGAACTAGCTAGAGAAATGAGAAGCTGGTATCTCTGACTGAAATAATTTATTAATATGTGAATTCAAGATTTGACATGCCATAAAATATAACATTATCCTGGTCAGGTTGTTGCAATAATTACAATCTCATGTTTGGGTCATCATATATTAAATACAAATACCTTTTATTATTTTAACTTCTAATCTCATACTACGGACTCTGGTAATAATACTCAAGGAGAAAAAAGTAACGGGAGAGGAAAAAATAAATACTAAAATAGATCTACCTAAGCTTTTTACTCCTATTTGGGTGAACAGAATAAGATGTACTATTACATAGTTAAATTAAATTCTGTACAAAAATGAGATAAGACGTTTTAAAATATACAAGAACTACATGACAAAATTAGAAAAACAAAAACAAAAACAAAACATAAATCAATTCAGGAATGAGAGTACACTAAATCATAGATCAAGTCAAATCATGACTTTGCGCAAAATCTTGCAGAGGTTCTCCAATATACCAGAAGAAAAGACAAAGTCCAAACCATGACCTCCAAGACTACAGATTGTGATCACTGTGACCTCCCTTGCTTCTTCTCACTCACTCTGTTCCAGATACACTGGGCTTCTTTCCTTCTGGTGAAGACACCGGAACCTCTTCCTACATTTCATCTATCTTCCCTGGCTTAGATCCTTTCCCTTTCTTATGCTTGTTTTATGGCTCAGCTTCTCCTTTCCTTCTTTCTGAGTGCTATTCTGCTCACTCTTTTAAAAACTAGGGCCAGAAGGTGGCTTAGTGGTTAAGGCACTGGACTTCCACATGGCCGACCACAGTTTGAGTCTTGGTCTTGAAACTCACACTGAGTGTGCCCAAGATCTTGGGAGGACAGTGGAGGAGACAGATTTGTGATGTGGCAATCTTCCCTGAGGGCTGATTTCTCACTTTCCCTCTCACTGTCTCTCTCTGTCTCTCCAATGAGTACACATTGCCTTATGGCAAAAACATTAATTTTTTTTTTAATTAAGAAGATTGAAAAATGTAGTTTCTCCTCACCTTGGCTTTCCTTAAGCCCCTCCCCCCCTTTTTTGGGGGAGAGGTTTTTGCTATAAGGTGCGTGAGCCCACCAGAAAGACAGAGAGAGACAGAGAGACAGAAAGTGAGAAATCACCCCCCAGTAGGGATGGCCACACCGCAATCCCTTCTCCTCCATTCTCCTCTTGGGCACACACGCACACATGCACATGCCCGGCATGAGTTTTAAGCCACCAGGTCCAGGACGTGAACTGCAGTCGACTACATGAGAGTCCAGTGACATAGCCATTAGGCTAACTGCTGGTCCCCTCCTTAAGCCCCTTCAACACCATCTCTTTATTTTTTCAAATCACTTATATGATTTACTATAGATTTAATATGATTTACTATAGAATTTATTTATATGTGATTTTGTTTATTTCATCTAATAGACAGTAAAACTGTGAAGTAGGGATTCTTTTTGTCTTTCATTCACTGATGTATCACTAGTGTCTAGAACAGCCTGGTGTAGAAACTCTGTAAACATATGCAGAATGAATGAATAAATTACATATCTTCCCATACTCACTCAAGGCCTGTCTCTAATATTAACACACTAAAAATGTCACTTGGCAAAGTTAGTGCACTTATTGCTGGTATTAGCCCCTAAATCTTGACCATAACCACACTATATACTTAGACATAACAAAGGATATTTAAAATAAATTATGTATTTTAGTTAATTTCCATATATCTGCACTAAAATTAAAATATAAAATAATAGCTTTGTTCTCACCTTTTTCCTCACTCTAATTTTCCATTTCCTTTCCCATCTTCTAGAAATATTAATTTTACTTTTAATGACTTGATATTTATTTTGAAGTTCTTTCTTTCTTTTTTTAAGGTTTTGCAATAGGTCTTGTACACTTACCTGAAAGAGACAGAGACAGAGAAAAATTAAGAAATCGCTGCCCCAGGGAGGATGTCCACACCACAATCCCTTTTCTTTTATTTTCCTCACAAGACTTTGGGGATGCACACACATGTAGCAGGCATGATTTTCAATCCCTCAGGTTCTGGACTTGAACCATGTTCAACCATGTGGGAATCCAGAATCTTAACCACCATGCCACCTGCTGTCCCTGAAAGTATGTCTAATCATACCTCACTTTTTATTTTATTAGTTGGGTTTAATCTGATCACAATTAATGAATCATTTAGTGAGAACCTTACCTTACTGAGTTATAACTTTAAAAGTTTATAGTTAGGTCCTAATTAATCCTAAGATTACATGTGAGACAAAAATGGACCAAAACCCAGAATCTATTCCCATTTCCATAGTCACTGTGACTGAATGAACAAAATCAACTGCATACAATTAAACTCTCCCCATGCTTTGGCAGAACCTGGAATCTACTTAACCTGGTGATTCAGTCTGCAATGAATATCTAATGAACACTCAGGATCAGTCTACTTAAAACTTGAGGGGACTTCAAGACATCATTGGTAGATTCCTTCCTGACTTTGGTCAGTTTAATGGTATTTTTTGAAACTATTTTCTGCTATTTTTTTCCACTAGGCCTGAGTAGATCACACTCTTAATGGAAGGAGGTTAGTTTAGGGCTATAATTATTATATGTACATTAAAAATTACAATTAAATAAAAAAAAGAGTGGCCAGCAAATGACATGGTGGTAAA